GTTTTAGATGAGAGCCATAGTAATATAAAAGCGTTTCATATGGCTTGAGGAAAGAAGTAACTGCTAAACACAAAGTTTAAGATAGCGGGTATTTAACATTGTAGGTCCTCAGTACAAATACCCCATTGAACAGAAACCTTCTTTTTATCACTCTTCATCTCACTTAGGTTTGTCTATCCTTTTTCATCGTGTGCCATGCTGCTAAGATGTTGACCCCTGGTGCAGCCAAGTCCAGTCTACTCCTCTAGATGCCGCCATGTTTGGTCCAACCTGTTCACTATGAATGGCTTGCAAAGAATTGGAATTTAAAACGTGTAAATCCAAGAATTATGCCATCACCACTCTTGTAATGTCAGTGACATCTATATGATGTACATATGCACTATGATTTGTGACTGATGTAGAATCGTTTTTTCCCAAACCAGAAAACTGTACCTTTTTACACCTTAGCTGGGATGACTTCTTAGAGCCGAACACAGCTAATATAACAGTTTTAATTCAAGGCATCCTTAGAGAAAACCTTACCACAGAACAGAACTAAGACACATCAACTCATAAGAAAATAATTCATCATTCATAATAATGTCACAAGACATCATAATGATAAATAAACTAATCCAATAAAAAGGAGTTGGATTTAACGTCGTTGTTTTTCATGGATTTACACATTTTCTGTGTTTTATTTGATGATATTGTTCCCGATATGTCTATATCCATAGTTTGATTTTCAAGCAGACATCATGGGCAGCAACTTAGTGAATCTCCTTTTCTTTCTTACCACTGATGAATCATGAAATGAGCGGGCAGATGACTTTTCTTACATCCTCTCTTTATGTACAATGGAATTTCATCACTCAACAATCTGCTATTTTATATTCTGTGGGGTTCCATTAATATGACCAACTTGCTACAACAATAATGGTATTAGGCACCTTACCACTTTGAGGCACTTGCAATGTTTGCACATCTCAGTGGGATATCTTGTCGAGATACGAAAGGGGAGACTTGGAAAATCCAAAGAGAAACTTCAGCTAATACTTAATACAGGAAGAACAAAAGGCAATATAAAGAATGGGTAAGGAATAACTGGCTTGAAGCTTGAAGCTTGAAGGTATCTCAAGTAGGAATAGATTGAGCCTCTGCAACCTGCGTCTAACTTTGGGTCCAGAATTTGTTCAGTGTGCTGAATTACTAATGTAAAACAAAACAAGGGCCAGAAAATTCTGCCTATTGGCAATCCAGCAGAACTATTTCATCAACAATAAAGGACATTTTTGCTCTTTGTTGATTACTAATAGACAAAAACAAACTGTTCTCTTGAGCATCCTTAAAAATTGTTCTAGTTAATAACAAATAGAGGTACAGAACCAGGGAATGGGAATGTCTTCACATTAGTCTTCGGGGCCATAAATAACTATAGGACTCCTCACAGTGTGGTGAGTGCTTCTCCATACAAGTGAGCCTGATAGCAGTGTAAATGTGGAAGTCGCAATGGGTTTTGCCTTTACAACCACCTTGAAACCCTGCTTCTGCAAGGCATGTGAGAAGAAGAGAGTTTTGGGATTGACTGTGATTTGCACTCCTTTGGGTGCTTTAATGGTAGCATTGTACATAGCTGGAGATGGGCCAACATTGGTGACGCTCCTCTGGAAAACACCTACTGTTTCTTGTTGGCCTGATTTTAAGTGAAGCTGCATAGATGGGTAGTTCAGAGCATCATAGCCAAATGCAGGAAGCAAAGAGGAGCAGTTTATGGATTTTGAACCCACTAAAGCTGCTATGGAGGATCCATTGTAGCCCTCATGACAAAGGAACTGAATATAAGACATCTCATCCATATCATAGATTAAACCAGGGTTGATTGCCCCAGAGGGATTCAGTTGTCCAGCACCATAGGCAAACTCAGCCTCATTGTTCACCCTCTGGCTCATTGGTTTTGCTTCATAAATGAAATACAACATAAAAATTGTAAGCTTTTTTTCATCATATTAGAATTTTCCTGGAATTAAGGGAACATTAAGACTCAATTCATTTATACCTGTGGTCATGATTGCAGATTTGATAGCAGCTGCAGTCCAATTTGGGTGAAACGACTTCACATAAGCAGCAACACCAGCAACATGAGGGCATGCCATGGAAGTCCCAGACTTGAGCGTGAACTTTGAATACTGAGTATCCCCTTCCAGCCCCGTGAGTGATTTCAAAAGAGTGTAAGCTGCTAAGATGTCAACTCCTGGTGCTGCAATATCAGGCTGTAGTATCCAGTCATCACCAAGGTTAAAGTTGGGTCAGCAATAATCCCTTAAAAGAACAAGGCAGGCACCCTAACATATATACCTTGAGAACGTAACTTGAGCCTGGATTGGGACCCCGAGTTGAAAATGAAGCAACAAAAGGAGCAGGGACTCTCACTTCGCGGGAGTTGTATATCACTGCTGAAGGTGATCTACATTATGAAAAGCAAAATGTTTCTCATCTAAACATCTAGGATATACTAAGAATCAAGAACATGTAACTATAACAAATTCAAGCACCTTGTGGAATGTACATAATCCTCAATTTCTTGGCCATCGGAGACATTGACCATGGTTGCTGGTGCCATAAAAATTTGAGCAACATCAAGAAATTCCCCACTTTCAAGTATAGTGCCAATACCACCCATCCCTTTAACAACAGAATCAGTGCCCTACTCTGCTAGAATGCAGTGAACAATCTTTCCCTTCACCTTTGCAGGATCCAATGAGTCTTCAATACAGAACCTATAAGTGAACAATCTTACTCTTAATTAGATTTCTCTCTTCCTTTTCTCTACAATAAATTAGTAGGATTTAGAAGTACCTAGCATTTTCCTTGCTTTTCGAGTTCAATGCAGCATCAACTCCACTGATAATTGGGTAGAATTTCTCCTCAGGCTTAAATGTATCAACTCCAACTCCCTGAATACAGATGCATAGTAGAGTTATAACTTACA